GTGTAGCTATTTAGGATCGTGTTTTGCGTAAAAATTGTGGTATCTAACTAAGAAAAAAAGAGCGCCATTTTATGTACCTTAGCCTCCTCAGATTTAGCAAGTGTGGTTTTGGTTTTAAAGCAGGTTCCTCCTTCTAAAAAAAAATTATCAATTGTGTAGCTATTTAGAATCGTGTTTTGGACTTATGTAAAAATTGTGGTATCTAACTAAGAAAAAAAGGGGCGCCATTTTATATACCTTAGCCTCCTCGGGTTTAGTAAGTGTGGTCTTATGTTTTGGTGCTGATTCTTTCCTCTAAAAAGATAAATATGTTAAGGATTGTGTCTTACGTTATAAGAACGTATAAAAAAATGATTTTTAGTGTAGTGTTGTGTACCTTCACCTCTTCGGGTTTATCAACGGGTGTTTTGGATTTCGCGGTGGATTCCTAAAAGTTAATAATAATCTTGTGTTCAAAAAGTTTGTTACAAATATTAGAATTATTACCAAAAAAAGGACGAGATAGGTGAAAAGTGTACCTTGGTCTCCTCGGGTTTACCGAGAGTCTTTGATTTTGAGGATTCTTGTATCTAAAAATGAATCGTGTCGTGTGAAGTCTTTGTGTTGTACGTGAAAATATCGATAAATAACGTGTCGTATTCGTTTTATGTATACCTTAGATTCTTCTACTTTGAGTGTGGGTTTGAGTTCCTCCTAAAATAAATGAAAGTGAACTTAAACACTTATATTTGGTGTTGTTCGTTTTTATGTACGTGTATAGCATGTAAATTGCACGTGTAATAGATTTATACGTTCATTCTGTACCTTCTTTTCTTCCTTTCCAACAGTTTTAGCTTTAGCGACGACTTCTTCCTTCTAGAAAAAAGTACAGAAACGATAAAATTTATTCGCCGTTCGCCAATATGATTTTTCACGTTAATGCGAAAGGTTAACACACTTGATAAGAAACACATTTATGTAAGTACCTTTGTTCCATTGGAAACATTATCCCTTTCTTTAGAATCTGACGTAGGTTCTTCATCCTGAATAATATTCATACGAATGAATAAAACGTATAATAAATAAAAAATATAAAATAAACAAATGGAAGAACTGTAACAAATTCGTGAGATATTGCAAACTATTGTGCTCTCTATTCCCTGTACCTTAGACCCCTCTGTAGACTTTGTCGATGATCTACGTCTCGTAAGTGGTTCCTTTTTCTAAAATTGTAAATGGAGGGAAAAAATTATATAAAAAAAAAAAAAGACAAATGTAATATATCGCGTGTTCGAATAGAATTAAATAGAATTTTAAAAAAAATAATAAAAAAATAAAATAATACCTTGCTCGCTTCGTCAAGTTTGCGAGAAGTAGATTTTGGTTTCGCGTCTTCTTTCTAAAACGATCAAAATAATAATTGTAGTTTCTTCATTAAACTATGTGTTCTGATAATGTTATGTCTTATGTATGTATGTATGTATGTATATATGTATGTATAAATAAATGTTGTATATGGTATACCTTGCCTGTTCCAACTTTCTTACGAATTTTTTTTATTTTCGGTTCAACTTTCAACTCCTAAAAAAATATACTTTTTATTTTTTTAGGTCCAACAAGGAAACGTGGACAGATATATATAATGATTATATTAATTATAATATTCTACCTCTACTTTATTAATCACGTCAACTAAGGGCGATTCCGATTTTTCTTTCAATGTTTCGGATTTGTCGTTTATTTCGTTTAAATTTGATTTCCAATTGTCCTAAAAAATGTTCGAGTAATGAATATAAACAAGAAGAATGCGTTACAATTTTATATTTTAAATTAATGACGCACATATGTATGTACCTCGGGTACTATGTGCTCTGTCCGTGACAAATATGTTCTTTGCGAAGCCTAAAATAATCATATATAATCATATATATTCAAAACAAAGAAAGAATAATTGTTACGATTGAAATTTCAATTAAACAAATCCTGTGTACCTCTCTTAAAATTGACTTAATTTCTGGTTCTTGTGGTCTATCTGCCCAAATGTCCTATAAATTGTGCATTGTATATATAAATTTTATTAATATTAATTTAACCAAAAAGAAAAAAAAAAAAAAAAAAAGAAAAGTACCTCTATATCATTGTCCAATTCTTCAATTTGTTCAGGTATAATTTTTGGCGTATCCTGTAAATGTGTATGCAAAATAATAATGCATAAATATGAAAAAAAAATGAATCTAAAATAATATATCAAATGTAATCTAATATCTAATGAAATTTAAATTTATTAATTTGTAATCTGTTTGTTCATTCGTTAATTACTTCAGGAATTATTATATTGAATTTAAATTCATTTTATAAAATAAAACAAAGATCTTTTCATCAAAAAAATGATTATTGTATATATAAATATTATGACAAAAATTAATAACAAATATCTACCTCGTTATATTTAATCGATTCTCTTTTTTCTGTGCTTGGTCGTGGTTCAATGGAAACCTAAAATTATTTTCGTACAATGGTTGATGATTCAATAAAGTTTTACCGAAAATATGAAATTGAATGTACAATTGTACTTTGTATACCTCAATATTTTTACTAGGTCTATTTCTACGTGACGTAGATTCGTTTGATATAAATGCATCCTAAAATTTATATTTTTATAAGTAATCATAAATTTAACAAAAAAAAAAATTCATTTGTTATATACCTCGTAATTATCAAGCACTAATTCGTCACGATTGGTGTTATCCGGTTGTAATTTTTCCTACAGAAATATATAAAAAAAAATTTTAATTTTGATAAAACATCTATCTTCAATTTTTCAATGAAATGCACGTTTAATTGGCGAATATTTTGTATCTCGCGTATTCTATGATTATATCGCGATACAATTAAATGAAGTATTTTGTGATAAAATGAAAATTTTAAAATTGTGAAACTGTGAATATGTTGTACCTCTCTTTTTATAATGGATCTTATTTCGGGTTCTCTTGGCACTGAAGCCCAAATATCCTACAAACGCCGTTTTTTTTATAAGTATTATGTCCTTGACTTTAATACGAAATTAAATATCTTTTTAATGAATCGTTTACCTCGATTTCATCATCAGATTCAGGCTCAGTACTATCTCTCGATAATATCTATAACGATAATGTGTATATTTTAATTGTATATATATATATATTTATCGAAACACCGAATATGAATTTAATGAATTATATTTAGTATTTTGTGTACCTTCGTGTGATGTGTTGGTGTTATTGTGGATCTAAAGTTCGGGGTCTCTTTATCTACCTAAAAAATTGAAAATAAAAAAAAAAAATTTCCGAAATTTCTTCGTTGAAAATAAATCGTAAATTGAAAAAAAACGGTAAAGTTACAAGAATTACATCAAAAGAATAGCATTGAAATAAGATAAAAGTTACGACGAGGTTATAATTCGGATAGCGTGATATAGGTCAGTGATATACGTGACGTAAGTGACTACAGTCTACTATATCATTTAGAATAACTACTCTATTCGCATACACATAATATAGATACTTATGTCAAAGCAATTCGCTTCGCTTCACGCTAATCTTTCTCTAAAGAGTTACAATGCTAATTACGAACAAATTTTCATCAAATAGAACATTTATTGCGACTCTCTTGCCAAATTCAACGATTAATAGATACTATACGTACGTAAGTCACACACAAAATATTTATTGTTAAATGTTACTAGCCTTCTTGAGTCATTTGCAAGAAGGTTAGACTCACACATGATACTTACTGTTTACTATTCGTAAGAAAGAGATTATTTTCAAATTTAAACACTCGTAATAACTTTTAACACGTTAATATAATAAAAATTGTATATAAGATATATTAGAATTTTAAGTTTATGGAAATTACGCACAACAAAGAATTATAAAAAATGTTTTTTTTTTACCTTTTCGGTGATTACTTTCTTTTCAACGATGGAAGCTCGCCGGCTCTCGGTCTTCACTTCTTCGATCTGTTCAGATATACATAAAAAAAAAAAACTGATAAATGTAAGAATGACACATTTTCTTAAGATAAATGGCATATGAGAATAAATATTATAAGAAATTTTAATATTCAATTATTTTATATTCTGTCGTACAAATCTATTTATTAAAAAATAATAAAAAATAATATGTAACCTTTTCGTCAGTTGCTATCAAAGAACTTCTTCGACTTTCTGTTCGTAATTCTTCTACCTGTTAACAAATCAAAAGAAAGCAAATATTACGCAAGTTTTCTTGCAAATATTTTATAAATAATTTTATAAAAAGTTGTTACTTACTTTGCTAATAGATTGTTTTCGAGATACTGTTTTTTCAGCTTTAAGCAGAGCTTCCTGTAATAGAAGAGAGAAGTAAATGATATAAATAGAAATGTAAAGATTTAAACGATAATAAGAATAAAAAAATTTATTCTTACTTCTTTCTTTTCCTCTTTCTTCGCAATTTTTTTCTGTGAAAATAAAATTGTTCAATTTCCAAACTAATAATTAACGTAACAAACATTTCAAATTTGGATTAAAAATTATTACCTTTTCAATTTCTTTCTTTTCTTCGATTTTTTCTTCTGGTTTCTTCTACACAAAGATAAAACAATTTCAACTATCGATAATTAACGCACAAGAATAAACTATATAATTGCATTCTCAACCTTACCATCTTTTTCCAATTTAACGATTATAATATCGTTAAATAAATATACACTAAAAAATTTATTTGAAAGCCAAACAATATGGAACATAAAAAGAAACATGCAAACGATAAAACGAAAAAAGAGGAAGATAAGAATGGGATGAGAAGTTTTGAGGAAAATTTCATAGCCCAGCTTCTAAAGTAAAAATATTTTTTTAAATTTAAGCATTATAGTGTGCAAATTAAAAATGCATAATTGATAAATGAGTTTAACTATTTCAATCTGAAACAAAAATAATCTTAACACAATTTGAAATAATAAACGCTGAAACATATTAAAGTTTATTAATTAAAGCTGCACGTATTGGTAAAGCTGTAAGGAAAGATCAATTCATTCGATAATAGCTGCAAATAAATTTTCCTATTGTAAACATGCGTTATCTCTTTCAATTTATTTTACTGAATTTATAAGCATTAAAAGCCATATGGAATAATCGTTCACAACCATGATTTTTTGCAATGCAATTGAAAAGTCGATTTATAATTCGAGCGCATACTTTATTCGAATAAAATTTTTGATATTCATTACTCACCTGTATGACTTCCAGTTTCTGAAACAAAAAAAAAACCAATCACGTTTAATTCTTGATTACTTTGCGGATATTGCACGTATATTATAATGATTTTTAAATAAATTTTCATATTATTTTGTTTATATAACACAAATACATGAAATAAGGGGACACATAACATTCACAAATACAACTACAAGGAATCATTGGGAAGCGCGTAATAGGAAATAATATTTGTGATATATTTTAAATGTTTACCGTGTGAATAAAAAGAATTTCACTCACTTTAATAAACGATAAAATAATCTTTTCACTTTTGTGAATCGAAATAAAAAAAAAAGTAATCGTACCTTTTTAGGAGCAGATTTGTCGATACCGTTCGGTGTGTGGTCGGGTATATCCTTGAAAGTAGTTTAAAAAAAAAGTGTTGATTAATTTAACAGTAAAATTAAATAAAAATTCTCTTGATTAAAAGGAAAAAAAATCAAAAAATAACAAAGTAAAAAGATAGATTGACACGAAAAGATATTCAGTGAGTGAAAATATATTTTATATGTTTGTGAAATATGTGTAACGTGTACGTGTATGTGTGTACCTCCATTTGTGATATCATTTCTGAATCTGACTCTTCGATAATCGGCTCTGCGATGCTGGACTCGATTACACTCACCACTTCCTCCTCCTCCTCCTCCTCCTCTTCTCTCTCTCTCTCTTCCTCTTCCTCCTCATTTTTTTCGAAAAGATTCTCTTTATCACGGTTTCGAATCGAGTTTTTTACCTTCGCATCGCAATATTGAAACGTATTTCAAAAAAGCCGAATTACAGTGTAAATGACAAAAAAAAAAAAATAATTATATCATGAAAAGTCTTTGGATAAGTGTTAACTTTAAGTGTTGTTTATGCAAGTTTGTGTTCTTAATATGAAAAAGGTGGATGAGTATTGGTTATAGGCAGACAAAAGGATAGACAAATAGCGAAAGAAAAAATATCCTCTAGGAGAATTAGATTAATAGCGAATAATAGCTGTAATGATAATGTTCGCTACCTTTTCCTCTTTCTTTTCTTCTTTCTTTTCTACCTTCTTTTCTACCTTCTTTTCTTCCTTTTTCTCTTCCTTCTTTTCTACCTTCTTTTCTTCCTTTTTCTCTTCTTTCTTTTCTTCCTTCTTCTCTTCTTTCTTTTCTTCCTTTTTCTCTTCCTCTTTCTTTTCAACCTTCTTCTTTTTCTCTTCTTTTTCCTCTTCCTCTTTCTTTTCTTCTTTTTTCTACAATAAGGACAAGGAATTGCATGCAACATTCAAGGACAGATAGACTGTTTGTTTAACCGTTATGAATTTAATACCGGAAGGAATATCATTTTATAACGTACGAATAGGGGATGAACAAATCTAAACAGAGATTTATATCTAAACACACGGTATAACGACGTTGTAACATTAATATATATATTATATAAAGAGAGACGAACGTTTGACCATTTTCTAATTTCTTTTCTTACCTTGACAACCAATCGTGCCGACGATTCATCTTGACCGTATTCATTACTAACGACTACTTTGTACGTTCCAGAATAGGAAGTGGAAGCAGATGTGATTGACAATTTCATATCCACACCATTGAAAGATATCATCACGTCTTTGGAAGCTTTGACCACCGTGGAATCTCTGGAAGAAGATGAAATGAATGTACAGCAAATGACTCGAGATTAAAGAATAATCGGGTAGAGTTGAAATAATTTATTTAATACCTGTACCATGTGACGGTAACTTTACGATCCTGTTTGGAGAGACTGGCAACAAGTTCGATCGATTTACCTTCCTCGATCGTCTAAAAACGAAAATATTAACGATTATGGAAAATCGTTCAAAGATGGAACACGTGAAAGAAAAATAATTACCGCTGACTTCAAACCGGATATTATCTTAGGTTTCTCGCCTTCCTCCATAATTTCCGTGACCTCTACAACTTGGGACGTTGCCTCGCCTTTCTCGTTACGAGCCACTAACTTGTACACACCTTTGTCGGAGGCTGACACTTGTTCGATTTCTAACTTGACAGCAAATTCTCCCTAAAAGCATAAATTTTGTTAATTTCTTTTTCCTTCAAAATTCATCTTCTTATCTTCTCTTCTTTGGCATCTACACAGAATAGACGCACCTCCTTTACTTGCTCGACGTGGACTTTGTGCCTGTTATCCGCTTTCACAGCTTTTGTCTCTTTGAACCAAGTGCATTCAGGCGTAAATTTGGAAAGCACGTGGCACTCGACTATGACCGTTCTCTTCTTCACGATCTTCACGACCTTCGGTTTTTCCTTGATCACGGGTATAACTATAAAACAGAAATGGATTCGCACGAGGAATCGAGGAATTAAACGGGATTGAAAGGAAAATTCGAAACTCACTTTCAACGTTGAGCGTTAGATTGGCGTTCAATTCGCCAAGAGCGTTTTTGATGTTACACTTGTATAAACCTGAATCTTCGGCACCCGGATCGTTCAACGTCAATTTGATGTAATAGATATCTTGCTTCTCTTGAACAATACTGATCGAGATCTTGGACGACTCCTTCACTATCTTGCCGGCATGAGTCCATACGATTTCGGGTTTCGGATTCGCCTTCACCTTGCAATCCATGATCACCAGTTTACCCTGGTTTTGCGACTGTATCCGCGGTTTCTCGACGAAAGTCGGACCGTCTCCTTCCGGCTCTGGCTCCGCCTCGATGTTCAAGTTCAAATTCGCATTGCTCTCGCCATATTCGTTCTTCACGTGACACCTGTAAGTGCCGCCATCAGGCGCCGAAGGATCCTACCACATAATCGATAATCGTACATTACATATACACATACGCGCATACACGTATACGCATATACGTTACCTTGATCTCCATGATCAACTCGTAAACGTCCTCTTCCACGGTCTTCGTCTTGATCGAATCTTGGAAGATTCTTTGACGACACTGGCGCCACGGAACCACGTGACTTCCGGTTTCGGATTCGCCTTACACTTGCATTTCATCGTGATCAAGGTGCCGGTTTCGTTCGGAATGATACGAGGTTTTTCGACAAACGTCGGCGCGAAACCAGGTCCCTCTTCTGTATCTTAGAAAGATCAATGGTTAAGCACAGCTCGTCGAAAAATTTATATTCGATGATATTTGTGGCGATCGAAAAAAAATGAGGGAGTTGGGGGGAGAAGATATTTAATCATCAATATCTCGATCCTTCTCGCTCGAAATTTAGCGCAAGGATCATCGCAGCGAGTTAAACAGTTTTAAGCAAACGAGAGAAGAATTAGTTAGCTTTATAGCGCAATCATGCACTTACCTACCTGTATATCTATATACACGTATAACGCGAATTTATTTATACCGCGATATAATATAATTATCTTTCTATCTTGACATCGAACAAGGAGAGAGAGAGAGAGAGAGAAAAACGTGCTAGGAAGAGATATATATATATATATGTAAAAAATAATCGTGGCGTGCGTCTGATTCGGAGGAGGACTTGCCTTGGAAGTTGAGGGAGATGTTTGCGTTACTCTCGCCGAAGTTGTTAAACGCGTTGCATCGATAATTTCCGCCGTCCGCCTTGGTCGGATTCGATATCTCGAGCGTGAGCAAATAAGTATCCTTCCCGGTCGCCTTGCGTGACATCTTCACGCGTTTGCTGTCGGTGATTGTCTTCTGACCTTGGTACCAAGTTATATCTGGGACCGGGTGAGCTTCCAAGATACACTCCATGATCAACACGTCCCCTTCTTGTCGAATTGTTGGCTTCTTTGGGAAACGCGGTGGTTTACCGTCCGGTATTCTGCGTCAGATCGACACGTCAGATCGATATTCGCCTCGATTCCTCGATCACGCGGACGAATTCGTTCCTCGAGTCGAGAGTCGTCAAGGCGTCGCCAAAAAAAAATTCAATCATTCAAAATTCGATTCCTTAAAATTCAAATCGTTCGAAATTCGATCGTTCAAAATTTGATAATTCGAAATTCGATTGTGCGAAATTCGATCATTAAAAATTCGATCGTTCAAAATTCGAAAATCGTTCGATATCTCGTTTCTATCCATTTCCATCGAGAGATCGAAGAAAGCGAAAGATTTGGCGACGCGATGACCATGCGCGGCTCGATAATAACGCGGCGTATGCGTACTTCAACTTGTCACCCCCCTCGAAGTTCAAGTTAATGGTCGCGACACCCTGGCCATGCTTGTTCTTCGCCACAGCTCTGTACTCCCCGGCGTCGCCTTTCGCCACGTTGTCGATTCTCAACCTGGCCAGATGGTACAGCTTCTGATCCAATTCCAACGACATCCTGTATCTTCCGCTTTCTTTCAACTCTTCGCTACCGTGATACCTAATTACGTACGCCCATCAAACCATCATCATGTATATACGCTGCTCGAAAGATAGTGGACTTGGAAGTACGTTGTACGTTGGAAATGTTTCGCTCGAAGTAATGTTCGAACGAAAACTGTGTGTGCGTGCGTGTGAAAGAGAGAGAGAGAGAGAAAGAAGGAGAGAAGGGGAAAAATATCCAAGACGTACTTCCAGAATGCGGATGCGCGCGTATAATCTTACCACTTGACGGTTGGTTTCGGGTCGCCGACTAATCGACATTCGAAGGTGATGGTGTTACCGTCGTCCGATTGCCTTATCACCGGTCGTTCGGTGAAAGTCGGTTTAATACCGTCGTCGGGTACGGGTGCCTCGTCGCCTATGTTCACACAAACGATCTACGTGTCGATATCCTTGTATACAATATCTTTTATCTGTCGCTTAATCCCTTCGCGACGGAAGGTTTAAGCTCTTCGATCCAAGGTCAGAGCTACGTATCGATCCCAAGTTTACGCCACGTCCTTTGCTTTTTTTTTTTTACCTCTTTCACTTTCGCCGAACTGTGAAATTACGACTAAGATTTCGCCTATCAAACCGACATCTCCTTATTTAGGTTGCTTTCTTATCTCTCATCTTTTGCGTCCGTTCTTTCTTTTTTCCTAATTTCCTTCCCTCGTTCCTGTTTGTCCTGATCAATCGTCCATTGTTGGCGATGAAATGCCTCGAACCAAGTCGCGATCGAACGTAATTCGAACGTAAAAAAGAGAAGAAAAAAACTACTTTTTCTCTGTTATTCGCGTTATTTTTTTTCTAAGCTTGTGTACTTGTTTACCACTGCATAAAAAAGTCTGTGTGTAAGTGCGATTAAGCCGGTTAAAGAAACTTGTGATTCAAAAATGTATTTAGGTTGTTCGGTTACGGTTTAAATTTTCTTTTTTTTTTTTTTCTTTTTCTTTTAGTAAAGTCAAATTAATCTCTTAAAACACAGCAATACGCATGAGTATAGTATGCGTGTACGTCTATATCTACTACTTGTATCACCTAACCAAATATTATAATATTACAACGTCAGTGATATTCACACGGCAAACGGTTGTTTGCGCCGGTAAAAAGAAAAAAAGAAAAAGGTATACGCGATTTTAGCAACCTAACGAAGCGTCAGCATAAGGCGATCCGCGTTCCATCTACCGACGTTTCAAACAATACAAGTCGGATACGTGGAACGCCAATCGAAAAATTAATACGTGATTCAAGCAGCTTTTACGTTATTAATTAGAATTTCATCTGCGATCTATGCGAACTATCCTTTTCCTTTTAGTAGTTTCCTTGGGCTGTATATCGTCGCTCCGTCGAGCCGACAATCGATACGTGCTCATTGCTCGACCGAGATAAATCATTAAAAAATAAATATTACGCGGACGGATGGAGACACAGAGAGAGGATGAAAAAAATAATGAATAAAACAACAAAGAAGAAGAAAAAGAAGGAGAAGACAAAAGAAAAGACCGAAGAAGGAAAATGACGAGTTAAGAGGGGAGGAGGCTAGAGCCTGAGAATTGAAAAGAACCGGAAAACGTAGAAATAATAAAGGATCACCGATATACACCCCGAATTAATAAAGATAGAAAAAGTGAAAAGGTAAGTAACGATTTACGTTTATTTTCTCGAATCGTGTTCGATTTATCTATCGAAGAAAAATAAGCATGAACCGTAAAACATCGATGTTCGAGCATATGGATATTGAAGAAAATTTTCTCTATTATACTTACTATCGAAGTTTAAGGAAATAGTGGCGTTGGATTCGCCGAGCTCATTCTTCGCGGTGACCTTATATTTACCAGCATCCTCAACGGTCACATTTTTTATTTCCAGTGTGGCGAAGTACGAGTGGCCGTCTTTGTCGACGGTTAGCTGAAATTTCAAGGTTGGTAAATAAAAAGAGAATAACAAACGACACGTAGATGGATCTACTGTTCCACTACTGCAAAAAAAGTCTCGCGGGACGGCACAGGGGTAAGAGGTTCTTCGTTAGGACCGCCTATCCCCACTTTGGATGCTTTGTTGACAATCTTGACCGCTAGTCAAATTGATGTGCTAGTCATGCATAGAAGTAGAAAAGCATAGTATGTCAAGCTTACTCGTATACGTACAATTATTATTTTGATTACTCAAATACGAAATTACATTTATAAATTAAACTATCGTAAACAAATCGTAATTACTCTACTTACATATTATGAGAAATAACAAAATTTTTATATTATACCGATACGTTAGAATTCTTTTTTGACTTCTATGCCTACGCTAATGCATCGAAGTTCAGATACGGATCGTCGTTTGAATTAGTATATGTGTACAAATGCTATGGTAGAAACAAGAATGCGTGTGAAAATAGGCGTTTCCTTCTTTAAAATTAACCAATCAGATTCCACCCGCGATTTCACGAGACTTCTTTCCACCAGTGAACAGTGGATATATAGATAGATAGAGGTAACCAACCTTGTGCCTCGGTGAATCTTTTACCATATTTCCATCGTGAAACCACGTTACTTTGGGCGTGGGATCAGCCGTGATGCGACATTCGAAAAGTAATCGTTTACCATCGTCTTCTTGTCTAATAGCGGGCTTCTTCGCGAAAGTTGGCGCGATTCCATCGATTTGTCTACAAGTGCGAATCACAAATTTTAAAGTAGATGCAAAACTGTTATTTTCATTTCAGTAAAATAAAATCACACTGCAAACGCTGATATCATTTCGACCATTATTATATAAACACATTGCGACGAGTTAGTACGGATGGCATTCGATTATCGTATTGTACAGATCAGTGCATGATTAGACGAGCCAAAAATTATAGGATTTTAGATAAATAGAGATAAATTTGACCTAGGATCACGTTTAATTCTAACTTTCGTTTCAATGATGGTATCGTACTGTAGACTCGTTGTTACCTATAGCGAGAAGAGAGACCCTTTGATGGCTCGTTTTAGAGACGCCTCAACCAATCAACGTCTTTAAAACGTCTAGTTCAACGACCTCTTTTCGCGCAAACTTATCTTGCATTCACGGCAAAATTTCCCTATTTTCTGCCTACGTATATCGCGTATATCGAACCTCGAGTAATAGATTTGTCAATGATGAAATGGCAGTTAACGATAAAGATGATAAAAATAAAGAGAGAGAGAAAAAAAGAAAGAAACGGAACGAAACGAAGCGATTCCAAAGTGTAAAAGCAACAAGATCGCGCGATCTGTAAAAGAAGGCAGAGAGCAGAAGGGAGGAACGTCGAAACTAACTTTAGCAAAGAAGTAGGCTGCAGCTGTTTCCTCCTGTTATACGCGTTACAGTCGATTACAACCGATTCGTCTCGCGGATCCGTTCTCTTCGCTTCTGCTATCCTGCTACGAGAAGAAAAGCGTTTCGAGGGGAATCACACACCCGATCCCGAATATCTGGAAAAAGTATGCTCGTCAATGGCTCGAGTTACTTTTAGAAATTCACGGGGAATCAAAATGTCTGTCGAACTGATCCGAAAATATAACATTTCGCCGAGCGGGCTTGGTCACGCGCGTCCAACTTTCGACCCAATTTCTACGAAGAAGAAATTCGAAATTCGAAGTGATTATTCGAATAAGAACGACGGGGAAGGGGAGGGGGAGAGAATAATCTAAAAATATTCGGATAACGCGCAGATCCATCCAGATTTAACTTTCCATTCCTCGATCGATCGTATCTGAACATTCTGTACGAGCAATCCGTTCCGATTTACACAAAATAGGTACAGATTTTTAAACGGAAGAAGAAAACGATTCGAATGGATGGAACGCGATGATTCAAGTTAAACGGATGTTCCATCGAACAAATGTCGTCGGTTAAAAAAGATCGAGGATGAAAATAGAGAAAGACAAAGAGAGAGAAAGACTTTGTCGAATCTATTTTCACGGCGGACAAGTCAGACTCACGTTATGCGTGGGCAGAAGAGGAAAATTGAGCGATCGGAAGAAGCATTAGCTGTCCGGTTTTCTCTTATCGGACGCGCGCGTGAACACACGTGAATACGCGTGCAAAAATAGCGAGCATTCCGCGACGATTATTATTAGTTAGCCGCATTCGATGCGCACCTATATAAACATCCACTCCTTCCTCCCATCTTCCCTCTCCCTATATCGTTGGTTAGTTTTAACAAACGGCAAACCGTTTTCGTTAATAACTCGCACACTCGTTTTTTTCTTTTTTTTTTTTTTTTTTTTTACGACGAGCAAGCGTTCGCGGAGGGGGGGAGGGAAAGGGGGGGGGAACGAAAACGCAAATCCCTGTTACTCACCCTTCCCTGTCTGCCTCTTCCGCCGCTAAAATCATGGAAGAAAAAAAAAAGAAGAAAGCGTGATAAGCGTAATAAGCAAACGAAAAGATGAGAGAGAAAAAGAAGCGAAAGAAAAGCGTTAAAAGAAGAAAGAGAGGGGGGGAGGGGGCAGAAGCAGAGCCTGGAGAAGCGACAAACAAAGTTTTCATTCGTTCTTTTTTTTTCTTTTTTTTTCTTTTTTCTTTTTCTTTTTCTTTCTTTCTCTTTCGAAAACTTACTTCTCTCTAGGCTCATCGACAGCTGTAAAAAAAATAGAAGAAAAATTGATCAATTGAAGGAACGAGGAACACGTACGTGTGTTCGAATTAATCGCGGCGAAAATGATCTCGTGACGGAGGGGGGGGGAAGGGGAGGGATATTTTCGGGTTATAAGGGCAGGGGCAGAGCGAAAACGAAAGGGTCAAGAACGTTTCTATAAAAAGAACAATCTTTCGAAGCGCGGTGCACGCATCGAAACGAGCAACGCGTTGCGTTGCGTTGCGTTGCACGATGGAAAGGAAAGGAAAAGATAAAATAAAACAAAATAAAACGAGATAAATATATATAACGAAGGGGAGGGGTAGAGGAGGGGAGTGAGAGAGAGAGAGAGAGAGAAGAAGAAGAAAGTGATCATCATGATTACTCACGACTGAAATTCAGGTTAATCGAAGCTGCGACCTCGCCCATCTTGTTCTTGGCCTTCACCTTGTAAAGGCCCGCGTCGGTCTCGATAACGTCGTCGAGCTCGAGCACGACGAGGAATTTGTTCGTCCCGACGCTCTGCATCCGGAAGTTGGTCCTCGAGTCTGGGGCAAGCTCGATCTCGCCCCTATACCACGATATCTCGGGTTTCGGCGAGCTGATCAGCTGGCACTCGAATATCAACCGATTTCCATCGTCCTCCTGCCTGAGCTGCGGCTTCTGGGTGAAGCTCGGCGCGAAATCGTCGGCGACCCCCATGTTGCCGGCTCGCCCCTCCGCCAATGTCTCGGGTGGCGAGCCACCCTCCGATCGGGCCTCCCCTCCCTTCTCCTCCTCAAAAGGGAATCGCCACCCTCCTTCACGCTGCTGAACGGTTTAAACGGCGCCGACCCGCGGCACCATCCAATCGACCTTGCCCTTCCTCCGCCGCCAACCAACTCCTCTCCTTTCTTTCTTTCGGATAAAAAGAAAAAAAAACACTTGTGTCATTCTCATCTTCCTTTCTGGATTTTGCAGGGGATTTTCCAAAAGCCAGGAAGAAGAAGCCCAAGGCCGTATAATGACGCAACGAATCTCTATTATTAATTCAACTCTTGGCTCGAAAATATGTTGAATCGGTTATCTCGGTTGAATCGGTTATTATGCTTGGCAAGTCTGAATTTAGGAAAAATTTTAGGAAGAAAAAGGGGGGAAAAGAAATACACGAGAGGAGATGAGAAGAGAAAATCGGACGTGGAGACGTTGAAAATTTGGCAATTTGGGGAGAGAAACGGCCTATTATCGTTAAGTATCGTTTCAACGTTTAACATTTTTCGGGAAGGCGAAAATGTTCGAACGGCGTATAGGCTTTCGACTGTGAGGGTAGGAAGGATGGGAAGTCGTAAAGTTCGCGTGTTCACAGAGCGAAGAAATGCGAATCGGGAGCGTGTGTGCACGAACGTTACAACGTCACTGGGTAAGACTTGGCAACGAGCCTCGAAACATTCCTTGGATTGCTCGGCTTCGTAACGCTCGTTCTCATTCTAATCCCTTTCCTGCGCCTCATTTTTCCTGCGTTCCATTTGACCGATAATTAAGACCGAATTGAATAATCTTTTTCTCGTCATCTAGAAATAAGCACAATAAGTTTCTCGATCGAAACTTCGTATTTCGATCACATTTGACGTATATGAAAAAAAAGGAAAGGAAAGAAGAAGTTGGTGGAGAATCGATTAAAAAATATGATATATTCGAAATTCCTTGTTTCTCCGCGTTCGAGGAAAATAAAAGGGGAATTTCGATTTCACGAAAATTTCCGAACGGCAAGTTCCTTGCTCTTTGTTCGAGATGCGCAGGTTTGACAGGAGCGTTCTGTTCCGTGCCAAGTGAAGAAGGGAATGACCGAAGATCGGAAGGGATCTTTCGAACGCGACGTCCATCTCTAACCTTTCCTCGAGAAATTTCCTCGATAAATTCGAAAACTTGCTTGCTCCCGCCCGAGGATCGAGGATATATACGTATATATCTCTTCTATCGATCGAATCGTCGATGACAATTAACGCGATCGTGTTAACGCCATAGATTCGAAAGGACAATCGTTTGGCAATCACCTAGATCGGAGGTCGTGGTTGGCCATTTTATAAATAGACGATACCTCTATTTAGAGGAGAGATGGACATGGCATTTTTATCAATGGGAGAGGAGACGGAGATCAACCTTGATCGGCGATCGATGCGTTCGATCGGTGTCTAAAAATATTAAACGAAAACGGCCGTTCGAGGAGAAGGGAAACACGCGCGAAAATTCCGATCGATCGGAATGTGGAACAGGTGTTCCACGAACGCATGCCGCGATGTCTCGATATTTTTACGCTGTACATGTAACTCACTTGGCACAATAATTTTTTATCGTGATGATAAATGCATAGGTAGAAATATTGGACACGACACGGGCCGACCTAATTAACAAGTGGCACGGTGTACACACGTTGGGTTATAAAAAGCGATGGATTGAATGAAACGAATAGTTTGGCAACGATGGGACGAAAATATCGTTGAGGCAAAAATGATGTCGCCGATGTGTTATTGGAGGGGGAGGGGGAGGGGGGAGGGGGGAGGTAGAGGGGAGGGGGAGAGGGTAGGGAGAGGAGGGAGAGAAAAAAGCTCGTCGCGATCGGAATTTTCGCTTATTATATATATACGCGATGGCGATCGATCGAAGTTACGTATTCTCGCGAGAGGATGATTCACGCTTTGGGATTACTTGGGATGGAAAGAATATTAGGTCATCGTGGGGATAATACAAGCTTGCCGCGCGCTCTAATTCCGACCTAGAAGTTATAATTATTATAGTCGAGGCACGCGTTACATCTCTTCTCTTCTCTTCTGTTGTCTATAAGTACCACTATTTTCTCTGCATCGCTCTCGTCGCGGCTTCTATTTTCGTGGACTGACTCGAATCCACGGTAATCGCGAAATCCTGCTCGTCCACACACACGTCGAGAAATGTCGAGATACTTTCCTTTCGTTTCGAGTCAGACACGAGTTCGAGAAACCAGGCGAGGGAGATTAAAGATCGGATATTTATTTATAGCTTGCAATATCGCGAGGCGCTATGATGCAAGAAGGGGGTAAGGGTTTAAAAAAAAATCGGACGATATATCGATACGCGCATGATTCGACGATGACAAGCAACGATCCAAACAATGAATTAGTCATCCGTGCTAATTTCGATTTATAAGTCTGACGATCAACAGGTGAAATTTTCACTTTGTTAAACAAGCTTAATAATATCGCGGACATCGATTATTATTAGAGGGAGGAGAGAGAGAGAGAGAGAGAGAGAGAGAGAGAGAGAGAGAGAGAGAGATGTAGTAACGTAAAC